TTTTGTTGGCAAATGTGATTAAAATATCGTATTATGGTATAGCAAATGTGGTTGGGAAAATGCGATTTTTATATGCTCACAAACTCGTTAGTCGGGTTTGTCACGCCTAAGAATCCAACCTTGAAGAAGATTCGGTCACGCCTAAAATCGATGAGTTTATGGAGTATAATGATTTAATACGGTATGTATATGACCTATGACTACATGTTCACAGAGCGTTACAACCTTGTATCATGCTGTAATTATAACAGGTTGTGGTATCCTACATGGGGTCGATTGTGTTGAAATAAAAAACAATTTTGGGCGTCGATGGGGATTTAATAGCACAAGGAGGCTATAACAAGTATAAGCGACATTAAATGCCTTACGGTTACCCCTCCGACTCCAAAGAATGAAGAGCATGGGAGGGGAAAGAGGAAGATGAGGCCATATCCAAAATAAGAGGAAAGGGGAGGAGAGAGAAGAAGGAGACCACCGTCGATGCCACAAGATTTTAGAGTGGACGTCATTAATGATGTAACAAGAGTACTGGCTAGAGCCACATGCGGTTTCCTTCTGTTTTATGAATTGCTTGTCTGGTTTGGAATTTAGAGTCACGTGTTTTTGTTTTCCTTATGGTGGTGTGGAGTTCACTTTATGAAGTGTTTTCCAGGCTGTGTAGACAATTGATGCATGCTTCGAGCAGTTGTTTGAAGCAGTTCAAATCCTTAATCAGTATGATGACAATAATAACATTATATAATTGATGTATGCATTGGGAGTTTTATATATGGTGAGCCATAAGAATGATGTGATGTCAAATAAGTTTTTTTTGTCATGGTAGATTAAATGCCTATGACCTTAGTACTTGAATAAGAGGTAGACTAAAATGGTTAGACAAAAGGTTTTCTCATGTTCAGCGAGATTTATGTCTGCTTTTCATACATGTAAAACATATACTCGAAGTTCTTATCTATAGTTGTTTTTTTAGGTATCTGTTCCAAGCCATATGTGTAAAGCTGAGCATGTTGGATTGCCCTCAATAAATCAACTTTTAGTTTATGACTTGAATACTTGCTAAGTATATTTGGATACTTAGCCTGATCTTTCAGCACGCCTGCTTGCAAACTATTTGTTGCTATTTTTGAACCTAATTGTCTCTTAAGTATGATTTTTGGTTTGGAATTATAAGAACAACTCTTGTTTACTTAAAAATGGTGGTCATCAGGTGTGGGAATAGTCAAGTGTACCCCCTCTCTGCTCTCTCTTTCATTCGTCTTGCTAAAATAGTAATGAGAGGTTATTCCATAATCTTCTAAAACCGTCCACTTTGTAGTTGGGCCATGGCAATATTGCTCATTTCAATTAGGCGGGAACAATTACTATATTTTTCCAGCTTTTGTTGTATATAGTAGGATCATTTAAATTTAGTTGATTTTGGTATTAAATTTTGATTCTACATTTAAGTAAATTTGGGAGTCAATTGAAGGGTGTTAGAGGCTATGAATTATCAATTTTATAAATTGAACATCATACATATTTTAATTAGAGCTAATTTCATTTCATGACATTGAAATTCAATATCTTGAAATTTGAAGTCATGTTATTAATGCATAAAAAATAGTACAATAGACTGAGAGGGAGTGCAATGTTTGACCTTTGGTGCTCCCCGTGTGACATTTTTCAGCTGTAAAATATAGATAACATGAATATTATTTTATCAAATGTGTAATGAAAATAAAAAGTAGAATGTTAAAATTTAGAATACTTACGAGCCCGTTCGAAGCACGGGGTTAATACTAGTGAATTTATCGTTTTCCCAACTTTAATTTCGTCAAAAGTTCTGCAGTATCCTTTACTCCTAGTGTAATTATAAGGAAATATGTGTACAATATGTATAGTTCCACCAATGACTAATAACGGACTGGTCGTGCAGGTGTACTCCCCAAAACTGTTTCATAAGAGTCCAAGACCAAATTAGATGTAAACCTCAAACATACTATTTGAAGGTATATATGACCAACCACATCTTCAAATATGAGCTTTGGCACTTCCCCTAGCCTGAGAGTGATTTTTTAGAGTAAAGCATCTGCATCATCCTTAGCCCAAGTGAATCTACCCTCTTTTTTGGATGCACTCTCCTGCCTGACCTCGTGCACCTCGTGCATGATGTGTGTAAGGTTGTAATACCTCGACAATGAACATGCATTTAAAAAAAGGTTTCTTGATCCAACCAGCTTTCCTGGTCTCCATGCCGGTTCCATTGACGTCTCCTCTAAGCATCTTGGTCGGGAATCGATAGAGATGGCCACTCATGTAGCAGTTCTTTGTCCAAGTCGGACCCGACCAAGATGCTTGGAGGAGACGTCAATGGAACCGGCATGGAGACCGGCAAAGCTGATCAGGAAACCTTTTTTTGGAATGCATGTTCATTGTCGAGGTATTACAACCTTACAAACATCATGCACGAGGTCAGGCAGGAGAATGCATCCAAAAAAGAGGGTAGATTCACTTGGGCTGAGGATGATGCGGAGGCTTTACTCTCAAAAATCACTCTCAAGCTAGGGGAAGCGCCAAAGCTCATATTTGAAGATGTGGTTGGTCATACCTACCTCCAAGAAGTATGTTTGAAGTTTACATCTGATTTTGTCTTGGACTCTTATGAAACAGTTTTGGGGAGTACACCTCCACGACCAATCCGTTATTAGTCATCGGTGGAACTATACATATTGTACACATATTTCCTTATAATTACACTAGGAGTAAAGGATATTGCAGAACTTTTGACGAAATTAAAATTGGGAAAACGATCACTTTGCATTGAAGTTTATAAATTCACTAGTATTAACCCCGTGCTTCGCATGGGCTCGTAAGCATTCTAAATTTTAACATTCTACTTTTTATTTTCATTACACATTTGATAAAATAATATAGTCATGTTATCTATATTTTACAATAGACTTTGAGAAGTCATTGCTGTAAAATTTAGTGTCTTAGTTGTGTGAGTTTCAGCTGAATATGATGGAGGACTGGTTTTCACTTTCACCGGCTTCATATTGTGGTAATGGTCATGGAGATTAAGGCTAGGGTTTATTGGTGGTAGGATGGAATTTAAGTAGTTGATTATGGACATGCTCTTCAATACTCAGGGTATTTGTTTTTCAATGCCCTATTTTACTCTAGACCTAAACTCCATATTCCAGCCATCTCAACATACCCAACCTCTAATTTAGCTTATATACTTGTTCTCAGAATCCCTTCTGCCCTTCATAGCTCCACACAGTGGTGGATGCAGTGGGACGGTAGGGCATGTGCCACTGAGGCGATTCTGGCAATGGTGCCCTCAGTATTTTGATTATAGTTTCATTGCAGTGGTGCCCCACTAGATTGCAATCCTGCCTCTGCCAGCCCCCCCCCCCCACCCACCCCACATACTCTAGTAATTAATTCCAAGAGAACAACCCCCCTTTCTAATTTAGCACATCTTCAGTGAGTATTCAACTTGCTTGGTTTATATGAAGGCTTGTTTAGGAAGTTAATAGAGGAAAGTGGGCAGGTTGATGGCTGAAATGGTGCCAAACATTGTGAAAAAATAAGAATGTAAGATTGGGTTTCTTTGTGATGATCCTATTTTTTGTGAGGAAAAAGAGAGAAAACAGCAAAATCTCCCTCCCTACCTCCTCCCACCCCTTCCTTGCCCCCTGCTGCCAGTACCCTGCCCCCACCCCGGACCTCGGCCCTCCTTCCCTTTGCTCCTCTAAATAATGTATCTCTTCATTTTACATTACAACAACAAAAAAGGAGTTGTTGAAAATTAATTTTCTTACCAATTTCCCTTATAACCTAACAAATTTAGGATTTCTAGTTTCATTGACTTTTCCTTAACTTTTTATTTTCCTGTATTTAATTTTTTATTCCTCCAACAAAACATAGGGTTAGGGTGAGCTTGGATTGGTTTTCTTTGGATGGAATACTATAATAGGCTACTTATAACATTTCAATTGCCCCTTATCCATAAACACTAATCTATTTGATTGTCTCAATTTTTTTGGGAATTTTTGGTATTTGTTCTTTACTTTCTCACCCATACAATCTGTAATAGGGTTGAATCCAACACCTCCACCATTCAACATTCGTTTTAGAGAATAACTAGATTTGTCATACGGAGTAATTCCGTAATTATTACTCCATAAGAATGATTAGTGTTCTTGGTTTAAAGGCGAGATGTTGAAATATAGGGTTCTTGGTCCAAAGTTGAGATATTGAAATATACATTCGTTTTAGAGAATAACTAGATTTGTCATACGGAGTAATTTCGTAATTATTACTCCATAAGAATGATTAGTGTTCTTGGTTTAAAGGCGAGATATTGAAATATAGGGTTCTTGGTCCATAAGAATGATTAGTATTTTGATTATAGTTTCATTGCAGTGGTGCCCCCCTAGAATGCAATCCTGCCTCTGCCAGCCCCCCCCCCCCACCCGCCCCCCCCCACATACTCCTTTAATAATTAAGTCTGAGAGAACAATCCCCGTTTCTAATTTAGCACATCTTCAGTGAGTATTTAACTTGCTTGGTTTGTATGAAGGCTCGTTTAGGATGTTTATAGAGGAAAGTGGGCAGGTTGATGGCTGAAATGGTGTCAAACATTGTGAAATAATAAGAATATAAGATTGGGTTTCTTTGTGATGATCCTATTTTTTGTGAGAAAAAAAAGAGAAAACAGCAAAATCTCCCTCCCTACCTCCCACCCCTCCCTTGCCCCCTGCTGCCAGTACCCTGCCCCCACCCCGGTCCTCCTTCCCTTTGCTCCTCTTGGATGGAATACTAATATAGGCTACATATATTGAATCTAATTTACATAAGAAATAAATAAATATTTCTTCGGTATAAAAATAAAAGATAGGAAAAGAATTGAGGACATTTTTTAGGAGAATTCTTTTTCAATCAATTGTAATTATTGAACCAAGGCCCAAGGCTTAAAGAATTAATACTCCCTAATTTTTATATGTTGTCTTTAGGGCAACAATTATTCCTTTGACGAGAGAAATGTAGGGCGGCCAAATTGCATCTCCAAAATCACCATTTCTTTTTGTCTGAACAGAGAGGCGAGAATGTGTTTCACATTAACAACCAGACTCCTCTTATTTCGTCGATTCGATTTTCCCCATTGCTGTATTGCTGTAAGTTTTTTTAGTGTTTGTATCAAATGTCAAAGCTTTCTGTGTTATACGGAATTATTTTTGGATTTTTTTCTCGTCAGATATTTGCTATGATGTTGTTCTTTTAGAGACCATCAGCTACAATATATGTTTGTGGCAAGGGATTCTTTTGAAACAGTTCTCAATTCAATAATTTGTGGATAGAGTCTTCATTAAGTTTTCTCGATTGTCCATAGAACAAGACAAGTATGAGAATATTGCTTGTTATTTGGACTATTGGTATCCCTATTACTCGAGGAGGGAATTGCGTTAGAAAGGGACTACTCGTTCCGTTGTTGCCGCCGGCCTCGAGAAATAGTTTCTGACAGATCTTTTGAAAATGTGAGTTCTTTTATGTGTCATTGCTTATTATTTAGCGCCTAAGGGTAGATATGCATGATATCGTCATATCAATACTTTATTTTCTAGGAAAGCATAATTTTCTTATGCGGACAAACTTGTGTTTAGTTATTCTAATTTTAAGGTTATGCTTCATGTATGATGTAAATGCCCTAGGAGAAAGTTGTTGGGTTTGTAATAGTCAATTATTCTACCCTTAAAAAGATAAAAAATTATAGCGCTTAAGGATTTCATTGTACATATTTTGCATATTCGAAAGATATCATTTTATATCTCGCCACTATTAAAATCTTCAAGCGCCATCAGTTTGTATCTTCTTAAGGGTAGGATCATTGACTCTTACAAACCCAACAATTTTCTCCTAGGGCATCTACATCATACATGAAGCATAACATTAAAATTAGAATAACCAAACACAAGCTTGTCTGCATTGAAAAATTATGCTTTCCTAAAAAATAAAGTACATATATGACGGTATCATGCATATCTATCGTTAAGCGCTTAATAATAAGCAATGACACATAAAAGAACCCACATTCTCAAAAACTTGATCGAAGACTATTTCTCGAGGTTGACGGGAACTACGGAACGAGTAGTCTCTTTCCAACGCAACTCCCTTCTGGAGCAAGAGGGAGTAACAATTTTCCAAAGGACAAGTATTATTCTCATACTTGTCTTGTTCTATGGGCAATCGAGGGAACTTAAAGGGGACTCCGTCCACAAATTATTGAATTGAGAACTATTTCAGGAAACCCCTTCGCCTCAACCATATATTGTAGCTCATGGTCTCTGAAAACACAACACCATAGCAAATATTTGACGAGAAAAAAATCCAAAAATAATAAATACTCTGTATAACATAAAAAGTTTTGATATTTAAAATAAAAAGTGAAAAAACTTACTGCACAGGTGAAATTCAAGAGATGAAATAAGGGGAGTCTCGTTGTTAATGTGAAGCACATTCTTGTTTCTCTGTTCAAACAAAAAGAAAGGGTGATTCTGGAAGGAAAAAATCCGACTTTGGAGATGCTCTTTGGCCGCTCTGTGTTTCCCTCGTCAAAACAATACTTGTTGCCATACATATAAAGATTATAGAGTATTAGTTCTTTAAGCCTTGGGCCTTGGCCCATTGATTACAATTGATTTAGAAGAATTCTCCTAAAAAAGGTCTTCAATTCTTCTCTCATCTTTTATTTGTAGACCGAAGTAGTATTTATTTATTTCTTATGTAAATTAGATTCAATTATTTAAATGAAAAATTGTCCTTGCCTTTTAAAATTTCTTCATTGTTTAATTGTTATTTTTCTCTTACAAACCTTTTATTTTAATTCATTTGTTCTATCTTTTTTTCGTCCACACCATTTTTTTAGGTTTTTTTTTTCCTTTTACTTTTTTACAGCATAATAGAAACAAAAAAATATAATTTAGTTTAATTTAAAAGGAAAAAAACATGATAGCATAATTTAAAATTAAAGCATGTTCTGTTTCTAAAATTGAATGCGAAGTAAAAAAATATGTTTTTTTAACTCAATAACAAAACATATTTCATTCAATTCAGATGTGTTCAACAAAAAAAATTGTAAACGAGACATATTGTCAAAATATAATTGTCCATGATTGAATACATGCTTTTTGAGATAAATTCCCATGGGAGACAATGATTGGTCTTGGAAAATATTATAGGAAACTGTTGTTTTTCAAATTTGAAAGGAATTCGTGGTTTTGAAGGTGTTAATGACAATCTTGGCCCGTACGTATTCCAGATAGAATTTTTCCTTGTAGGCAATGAGTTGCCACATGTGGCACTATTAATCTCGTACCACTACACAATCTCACCGTGTGATCAACTTTTCTCAAAAACATCATAGGATTTCCAACTTTCAATGTTAAAACGTTGATGTTCTTATAGGATAATGCATTTAGTTTTCTTGCAGGAAATCACATCCAAATCATAGAGAAACACTATTTGGGATTGATTAAAAGTGATATGTTTGTTAGAGCACTGGAAATACCCGTGAAGCCCCGGGGCTTCAAAATTTCTCTCTGCCACGTCAGCTTTAACTTACCTCACAGATTCAGTGGAAATGGGTTTGAAGCCCCGGAGCTTCAAACTGGGGCTTCAAACCTTCATTTTTTACATTTTTAAATATACATATTCTAAAACTAAATTAATAAAATTTAATTTTTTCATTATATTGAAACAAGAATAATAAAAAATACATTCATTAAATTTAAAGAAATTGAAACGACAATAATTTTAAAAAATTACATTCATTAAATTAAAAAAAGAAAGTGACATTAATTTAAACGACAATAATTCATTAAATGAAAATAATTAACTTCAACAAAAAAAGAACATTTAATTAAAAAATTACATTAATTAAATACTTAAAACAAATTATATTAAGCTTTGATCTCGTTATGTCTTCTCTCGAAAGTAGATTATATTCAATTGGTCATTTGACTCGAGACCGGACAAATGAACATAAAAAATGAAGACATTCATGTTAAAAAAGATGAAAAAAATTGAATATTTTTTTTTTTAATTTGAAGAAGATAGAGGAAAAGATTTTGTGGGTGTTTAATTTTTTTAAAAATAATTGAAGAAGAAAGATTTTGTTTGTGAGGTTTATTTTTAAAAAGAATAAATTAAAGAGGAAAATATTTTGTGGGTATTTATATGAAGAGTTTTTTTTTTTAATTTGATGAAGATGGGCAAAACGCCCGTTAAAGGTTTAACGCAATCAAAATCACGCCCGGATAAAGCCCAGGGGGGCGGTGTTTAACGCCCCTGGGGCGTTAAAAGTGCAGTCACGCCACTGGGCGTTACATGCATTACCAGTGCTCTTAGAGCATTGGCAGTGGCGTGGATTTGCCACTGCCATGTTGCCACATCATCAATTTTTATAAAAGCCTTGCAAAGTATGGGCAATTTGCCATGCTTTGTATTCCATGTGCGTGTTGATTATTCCTCTTTTTTTTCTTTTTTCATAAAATACAAGATTTTTTAAAAAGAAGTAGAAGGTGTTTTTTAAAAAAAGATAAGAAAAATAATTTTTAAAATTAAAATATTCAAAAAACTCTAAAAACTGATAAAATCAATTACTTGCTACCACTTCACTTACTTGTTACACATTTACTGGATTACTTTTTATTGGTTGAAATGTGTCACGTCAACGTGTGGCGTTTCATTTTTATACTTGTCATTGTTGATGCTCTTTAGTCATTAACTATATCAAGACAGATTGTTTTTTTTTAAATATAGAGATAAATCAAAACCTTTGTTTGGATACTAAGGAAAGAGAGAAAGAAAATTAGAGGTGTGAAAAATAGTTTTATCATATCCCATGGCAAGAAAATGCAGTGGTTATCTTTCATTACAGTGGGTAAAGCATTAATTTTAATACATAAGAAAGAACATTCATAAATGTACTTATCTTTCCAATACCTTATTGTATTTAATAAATTGGAGATTTGAGTAGATTATTTATTTGACAAAGTTTTTTTGAGTTAGACATTAAATTGTAAGTACACGTTTTTCATAACAATGAATCTTAAGAAACTGAATTGTTTCACCTGGTTAATTAGATTTTTGAAATTTCCCAATACACTTAATAAAAAAGTAATAGAACTCACAATAAATATCTTGAATTCACATGCAAATTTAGGAATCAAAATTCCCAATATGAAATCCTTGGTTTGAAGTTTGTATACCAAACAAAGCCAATTTCTTCTCATTGTTGTTGATTTTAGTTTCATTGGCTATTTTGTGTAATTAGATTAACTTATGATCGGATAAAAAATTTTATAGACCTTGTTAACAAGTTAGGAGATACGTAAAGCACGCTCATTCAACAATATTAGAAACTCAGAGTCTAAAATATGTAATTTTTGAACGTTTAAAAACGTACTCAAATAATTTATAGAAATCATCCTAAATAGGACTAAAACATAGAGTAAAGTACCAAAATAGGACTTTCATGTTTTTTTCCCGGAATAGGACTTTGCATTGTGGTAATGTGATTTTGCATTGTGGTAATGTGGCAGTGTACATGTGCAAATTACTATACTTTTTTGGCAATGTATATGACCATGTTTGGTAATGTAAGTCCTATTTCGGGAATAAAAACATGGAAGTCCTATTTTGGTATATTTTCAATGTTTTAGTCCTACTTTGGTCTTTCTCCCAATAATTTAACCAAAGGAAGTCCATACTCGAAATAGCTTTAATCTGAAAGCGTGACTTCACGCAAATTGTTTAGTATATCAACTCATTTTACGTTACAATATATATCAAGTAACGTTGTTACGCAGCGTTGGTTTTCCATACATATCTACCCATATTCTAGCACTCATTTTTCTTATATGCGTGAGGAGCAAAGGGGAAAAATATAATAATTCTTGTATTATTTTGCTTCTTCAATTAGAAATTCCAAAATAGTAATCGGTATATTTTGAAAAAACATAACACTTCATATAGGGTTCATAGAGTATAGCACTTTTATTAAATTAAATAATTAAAATAAATAAACTTGATTAGTAGAATGTCAAAAAATTAGAATGCATGCGAGCCCGTTCACTGTATATATCTTGCGTTAATACACAATATATATGGAGTGAGTATTAAATACGGAGTACGTATTTTATTAACTCTCCCTTTAAATTTAAAGAATTCAATTTAAAAAATCATAATTCGTGCACAGCAACTAAAATAATAAAAACTAAAGTTGGGGAATGTAAAACTAAAGAAGTTATTTAAAAAATAAAATCGTACTCAACCAATCATAACAAAGAAAAAAAGAAAAAGAAATTGTAATAAGCTTCTTGCCCAGGTTCACTTTTGTGACAAAAAAAAAAAATTAATTTTTAACGTAGAAAACAAGAAGAATGTGGAGTATATTAAAGGGAGGGAGTAATGTATTATTGCACATACTATGGAGAGCCTGGCGGTCCATAAGAGTTACCGCACGGGGAGGGTTCCAATTGTAATTTGCTATGTTCTCATCGTGGACTAGAGTATGGGAGTGGAGTACTGATTTTTTCCTATGCTTGAATTTGGCGTAAAAGTAAATAAACGCAACATGCATATATATTTTAAAATAATGATAGACAAGTAACAAATGTAGAAAAATCATCGGAAAAAAAATCAAGAATCATATCATTTGGATGCCATGTCGGCATGCAAAACTTTTCCGTGACACGATTTGCTGGATAATTAGAGAGAAAGGTCACCTCCATGTCGGCATGCGAAACTTTGCCGTGACACGATTTTCTAGATAATTAGAGAGAAAGGTCACCTCTGCGTCGTAGTGATATGGATAGCTGCATATGGAAGATGCACTATATTACTCCCTCTCTCTCCTATAAATATTCTCATTAGTCCTTTTTATTTATTCACCATAGATCTTCTCATTACTTTTTTATCAATTAAAATATCAAAATTATCCCCTTTTACTTTATTTATTACATCTGACCTACCTTATTTAATACACTCCACCCATTTGCATTAAGAGTATTATGGTAAACTTTTTTTCAACTCTCGTTAAAAATCACAAAAAGTCAAAACGAGAAGATCTTAGGGATACTAAAGAAAATTCCATGTCCACATCTCTCACCTAATTTATTCCTTTTTTTAAATTTTAAATACTGGGACAATCTAATTAAATAAGAAAATAATCCGTGTCCCTAAATTAAATAAAATGGAACTTTACAAAATTAAGGTTTTGTGTTTCTTTTTGCATAAAATGCAATTCATTCAAAGACTCCTATACTTTAAAAATCATAATTCAAGGGAGGGATTAATATATGTATTATTGTACTTACTATGAAAATAGATTAAGTATAACTTGTTCACGAGAGAACACTTCATTCATCACCAACCCATGCCATTCATACTATGTATGTGATGATTACTACCTTCTTCACAGGAGCACTCCCCTGTCCACATATAAACTTTACATTCACTATTCACAGGGTCAAACTTTATTCAATTTGTTGGCATATTCACAGGGTCAAACTTTATTCAATTTATTCAATTTGTTGGCCTAGTTTTTAATATGTAATTCTTATTTTTTATACAATTTTTCATATAAAAATAATTTGAAAATAACTCCAGTCAAGCATCGTAACGCACAACGTGAATTTATTTGTGGACAGAGGGAATATAAATTATGTATGTATGCATATGCATGCATGTATGTATCAAGGCCCACTCTAAAATGTCCAATAATAAATTTCTCATTTTATATCTCCGTCCAAAAATTGATTTTTATTGAGTGTAAAAAAATTAAAACTAAATAAATAATCGAGGATGAAATATATACTTCTAATATGCGTGTCATCGTTTCTTTCCTTTTACAGTTTTATTCCCCGCACAAACTATGCGGGTGGCAACCTTGCTCATGCTGTTTGGTGGCCCTTTTTTATACTCTCTCCGTCTATAAATAAACTTCTTGTTGCGCGTTACGATGTTTAACTAAAATTATTTTCAAATCATTTTATATAAAAAATGAAGTAAAATTTTAAAAATAAAAATTACATATTAAAAAACTATATCAAAAGATCTACAAAACTAGAAGTGACATGACTATATTATTTTATCAAATGGGTGACAAAAATAGGCCAACAAAATAAATAAAGTTTGACCATGTGAATAGTTAACGAGAAGTTTATTTGTGGACGAAGTTTGTATGTATCTTCCTATAAAATGATCTTTTTATCTTCTTTTATGTTCGTGTTGATTTGAAAACTAAAAATATAACTTCATGATGATCTTCCGTCTCTCAATCTAACTTTTCTCTCTATCTCTATTTTCCACCACCCTCTCACAATTTATTTTCCACAAAAAATTTTCTTCTTTTTTCATCCCTTTTTAAAAATATTTCTCATTTTTTAAAAAATTCATTTTTATCCATACTGAATCTTAGCTTACTTATCACATTATACTTTTTCATTATTAATCTATCTATCATATCCAAAGGCATTTTGAGAAACACAATACCAAAATATACCCCTCTCAAATATTTTAAAAATCAAAACTAGAAAGGTTTTGTGGGACGAAAGAAGTGTGTATGGATCCACGGCCCGGGTCAAAATCATGTGTTAGACCCTATTTTATTTTATGTAAAGTATTTGTGATTTAAAATTAATGCTAAATTTAATTTTTAATAACTTTAATTTTATAAGAATTTGAATAAGAAAAACATACATTTATATTAAATTTAAAAATATTAAATAATTAAAATAATAAATATATCACAATATTGGACCCTAAAAATTTAAGGGCCATGTGCGGGAGGCAACCTTGCACACCCTCCGGACTGTCCATGTTGTCAGGTGGTCCTTTTTTAAGTGTACTTTTCCATTAATAGTTTTCTTTATCTTTCTTTATGTTTCTGTTAATTTAAAAACTAAAAGTATAATTTTACAATGATCTTCTATCTCTCAATCTAACCTTTTTATTGATATTTTCCATCACCCTCTCACAATTCATCTTTTTTCACAATTCATCTTTTTTCGCCATCACTATTCTCTCTACGCCAAATCTGACATTGTGAATAATATATAGACACATAATTGGGACGCAAGGAATACCATTTTACCACTTATTTGTGCTACACATTTTTGAGATGTATGCATTGAACCTCAATTACTTGAGACTCTCTTTGTATTTCGGATCGCCTTGCGTCCTTAACAACTTTGACAAAATATTAATCCATATTAGTTCTTTTTTTTGTCCTCTCCCTAAAAAGGGTGCATAATGAAAATTTAGCTACACATAGCTAACATTTTGTAGTGGGGAACACCATAACATGAATTCGCATTTATGCCTTTATCCATAGGTCAAAACTCTAAATCAATAAATCATCAAAAATTACGAGCATAAAACAATAGCACAGTATCTCTAACCTTATTTGAAGAAAAAAACAACAAAGAAAATGATACTAGAAAAAAATTGGAAGCAGAATCCTAGTTTTTGAGGCTTGCTGGGGTCATATTCTTGAGTTGTCTCTGCCGAAGACAAGTGTCGTTGCCCAATTCACAGCCACATAAAACCTGTTCCTCCAGCTGATCACCCGCGTCAAGTATGCCGAACGCCATATAAACCAGCTCAAGAAACCCGCCATTGATATACCTTGGGAGCCCTGGCAGAAAAATAAAACAAAACAAGTTCACTTTGGTTCTTGAAGCAAAGTCAATGTCCATTGGTTATTGAATAATATAATGAAAATGATGAATAATTCTCATAGTCACCTTGGACTGGCGCAAGTCGACAAGGGCCTTGTAGCGCCCCACGGAAGCCATGCTTCCGAGGTGATTGTACACAAAAGGGTCTCCCAAAGGTATGTCTTTTGCAGATAAGGCTTTTCCCCCAGTTTTCTTTCCAATTCTGTTGAACTGCTCAACAAGGTACTTCCCTTGTCTTTCTGCAACCTGTAGCGACATTTATATAAATGTTTTGTTTTCTGTGGAATTCTACTCAGGGTGTTATTTGCTGTTTGTGTGAGCAAACAAATGACTTCTCACAAACAAATAGATTCAAAGCAAGGAGCTTGGGAAGACCTGAGCAAGGGCAGGCAGGACCGGTTTCCCGGTCTGTTCAAGAAAACCAGCACAATCGCCAAGTGCAAAAACGTCTTCCACCGATGGGACCCGCAGCCATTCATCCACGCCAACTCTGCAGTGTCAACACATTTTTCTTATAGATGTGCACCAAACATCTTAACAGATCTTGTAGAGGTAGTAAGGTTGTGTACATTGTGATATTTAAGACCATTTAGGATATGTTTAGTGGGGGTGTTTTGCATACCTTCCACCAGGGGACTTTGGGAGATGTAGAGATTTTACAAATTCAGATGGCCCAACTCCGGTAGACCAAACTAGGAGCCCATAGGGAACTTCACTTCCATCACTTAGAATTATTTTCTTAGGATGTACCTCTTTCACAACACCGCGTACAAGGCGCACCCCAACCTGATATCACAAAAATAAATTTTGATTCAATATAGGTAGGTCTCTTGAAAACAGCCTCTGTAGTCTCTACTACCAAATAGGAGCAAGGTATGGGTTTGTTAATGTCGAATTATGATTCAATATTAGTATTACACGGAACAGCTTTTTAGGGAACATATATAGTTTGTTTGGAACTGTAAAAGAAACTTCTTTTTGTTTGGAAACCAGCTTACTGTGTCCAGAGAGCTACTTTTAGTGGAGCTTATAGCTTATTCTCTCACAAAACACTAACTTTTCAAACAGATTTTCTCTAGTTCCCTGCCAAACAACTTCACTTTTTTATAATGCAATCAGATTCCTTTTTTGAGTAGATTTTTCCAATTGCCTACCAAACAGCTTCACCTTTTTATAGGAGCTACTCCAAAGTCTACACTTCATAAAACAAGTCCTCGATAAGGAATAGGCATAAGAAAGATGAGTATACCTTGGTCAAATGTTTTGTTGCATATTCTCTTAATCCCACATCAAATGAGGATAAAATCTCATTTGCCTGATCATGAACACAATATTAAAAAATGAATAACATGAAAACAAAAAGGAAAAATAAAGAATGAATGTAATGAATACCTCTATAAGGGTAACACGTATATAGTTTTTAACGTGTGCGTATCTTTGGCGAACATCTCTCATAATAAAATCGCTCAACTCGCCACTGAATTCAACCCCAGTGGGCCCTCCTCCAATGACAACACAATGTAAAAGCTGCTCCTTCTCTTCTTCAGATACACCTGTGGTTATTGCACATTGAAATGTATGTTACATTAAATCGTCAATGTCTTAAATTTAACAAGCACGAATCATCTATTTGTATGCAATCATTTGGCCAAGCTCAGCTCTAACAAACATTACTTTAAAGAATCAGACAAAATTAGTCATATGTCAGTGGAATAAGGAAAAGTACATCCAATGTACCAAACAGGCCTTAATCACCAACTGGCAGTGTCTGTGTGTGCAAATAGGAAAAGAAAATTAAACAAAGAGAATGATTATAGAGTCACAATAACTTAAGTACAAATTTTTTTTAGGTATTGTTTAAGAGTTACCTGGATTTTCAGAAAGCATGAGGTTCAAGAGAAGCTTTTTCCTGATCTCTTGAGCATGATTAACTTCACGGAGAAAAAAGGCGTGTTCCTTAACACCCTTTATACCAAAGGTCAAAGGCTCAGCCCCAGAAGCAATCACAAGCTTGTCGTAAGCAACTTTAAACTGATAAGGCTCCCGAATTTGTCCACCGTTACCAATCGTTTCACACAGAACCTGTTGAATCAAAACTAAATGACTTAACATCAAAATTCGCTAGTGAAACATCGTAATCTGAAACTGGAAGAACCTAGTGGGACAGAGGGAGTATGTGCTTATTAGCATGTAAGGGTAAGGTCAGTGTACAAAGCCCTCCCAAGGCCCTACTTTTGGTGGAACTTTTAGAGGGTTTATTGTTTTTGTAGCACGTAGAATAAACATCATTTGACATATTTGGATGAAAAGAATGTTATAGAATAATCACAATAACACTCTGTGACATAACAACAAGAATGGGTAAAACTTGCCTCGTGTTTTTCGGTGTCAATGCTAGTGCAATTGGCAAGAAAGAAATATGAATTGGGGTCTTTTGCCAATGCAGTCTGTATCTGACTAACTGGTTCAGCAACCGTTCTGAACTCAAGGGTCCCAACACAAGTTGAAGCAAGCAAAGGGGTGAAGACCATGTGGTTCCTAGGTGAGATGCAAACAACATCGTACACAGTCGTGTCGAGCCCTTTAAGGAATCTACAAGCTGCCCAACCCGAACCGAGCACAACCACTCTAGGCTTCTCACCCGGTTTTGTAGCTTCCAATGTGGGGTACTTCGGACTCTCAGATTGCAAATCAAGTGGCTGCACCCTTTGTGCTTGTGAATGTGAAAACCGGTACTGAGGGGCAAACCTCATGCCTGTGCTCTCAAGACTTGTTTGGTTCACCTTTTTAGGTGTTGAGAGATGATCCATGTTTCCATTTGGAGTGACACTCCCAATTATTGACGAAGGGTTTGTTTGTGTGGAGAGACTACAGTGGTCAGTTGTGTAAGGGCCAACGGTGCCTCCAGAGCGCCTTAGGCCAGTCCTTGCTATCCTTGCCAATGCCATGGTTTTCAGAAATCAACTGTATCGTCTCTATGAATATAACCTGTTGATAAAGAGTATAAGAACTAGTAATTCATGAAATCTACCAAACTAAATACCAGAGTAATGAGTGTTTGATCCAAAGCATCCACTGAGTAGACTTTTTAAAAACCAGAAGCAGATTAAAGAAGAAATCCTCCCATTAAAACAACAACAATATAATTGAACAACAACAACAACAATGAAAACAAGGTACAATAACAACTGACCTAGTAAATTCCCAAAGGTTCGGGGCCAGGATTGTGTGTAAGCACATAATCGCGACAAAGGAATGTAGCACGAAAGAAAGTAAGCCCATAAGACGAAAAGCATGTAGAAACTATGAACTAGGGCACAAAAACACACAGACAGAGATTACGAACTAAGAGACCACACATCTATACTACGAACAATTGTGCTATAATACTAAGAAAAAATACATTATAACAAGAACAACAACAACAACACCTAGTTCTAAATTTCTAACTTATTGCGTTACAAAAACAATAATAAATCCAGCATCTACATTCATCACAGATGCAATTTAGGAACATCAAAATACCTGCAATTCCTCACCGAAAAAAGTTAGGCGTGTTCAGAATGCGAAGGAAAACATTCAGATCGGAGCATTTCCGAAACCAAATTATCAGAAAAAACGCGTCGAAATCAATTTATACACAAAAATGGCTTCTCCGGAATCGAGGAATTATAACAAGCGCCTTGAACAAGAACCGAAAAGGCATACGTACATTTGAATCGGGTTGAAGAAGACGAAGCTAATAATAATAATAATAATACCTTAATCGGACAGTTAATGGCGTAGAAGGGAAGATTAGCGGCGTTTTAGAGAAAATGGGCTCCGAGATCTCCGGAGCTCCTCTCCTTTTTCCGACGGAAAATAACACACGTTTTTCGGTAGGTGAAAACGCAAACTTGAGAAACAAGAAAGTCGGACGGAGATTTTTATTTATATACCCAGGAATTCAAAATGCATGCCAAATGTATACACCCAATGGGACGCAGTATTTAATTTATTTTCATTTAAAACTTTTTTGGAAAAAGAGTGTGAAAAGGAGCGTCTCAAAAATAGTGCCACACATATTTGTATATTTTTAAGAGCGAGAAATTTACTTAAATAGGATTAAAACATAATGACTTTCCCAATATAAGACTATATGTTTTTATTTCTCAATGTATGACCTTTAGTCATTATGAAGTAGTTATTATTCAAGTAAAATGTCCATCATTACTGGACGTTATTCTTCCCACCGGGTCATTATTAAGTCCTATTTAGGGAATAAAAAAGTTTAAATCCTTCATTAGAAAAGTCATTATGTTTTAATCCTATTTAGTACAAATTTCACATAAGAGAAAGAGTATATACTCAGTATTTGGTATCAAAATGTGTGGGTCAGCGGTCAGCACAGAAGAAAGTGGGAAATGGGTAGTTTCAAAATTCAAAAGCATGAAACTTGCCTCCTCTTTTCCCAATCAAAGGCTTTAATTTTCTATCCTTAAATGGCATTTCTATATTCAAATCTTTCGAATCAGTAGTGTTAAAAATACGTGGATTTGGAATCGGTAGTACTAAAAATGAATTAAAATTGGAGAATTCAATTCCAATTTTGTTAACCTCATGTACCAAACGGACTTTTATTTTTTAAACGAGAAAAGTGCACCGTTTACCCTCGAATTCTTTGAAAATTGCACGGTTTACCCCTGAACATTAAAAAGTGCACCAAATACCCCTGAATTCTTTAGTAATTGCACGCTTTACCCCTGAACAATAAAAATTACACCAAATATCCCTAAACTCTACGAAAATTATATTATTTACTCCTGAACATTTAAATAAAGACGACTTGATCAAAAAAAATAAAGACGACAATTTTGGGGAAATGTACTTGGAAAAATCACAAGGGTCAGATGAATCATATTCGCAATTGTTGTGCGTGGAAGCAACGCACTCCCTATCTAATAGTTTAGGACCAACGATGCAACGGTTTAATTTGTTCAAGGGTATTTGATGCATTTTTAGTATGCAGGGGTAAATCGTGCAATTTTCAAGGAGTTCGAGGGTAAACGATGCAATTTTTATAGTTCAGGGGTAAAACATGCAATTTCTAAAGAGTACGGAGGTAAACAATGCACTTTACTCTTTTTTAAACATCCAACATTAAATTTGGACTTGAAAAAAAGACTCTATTGTGGACTGGAAGGTATATATTTCAAGAGGGGAAGGCGGAGTAGATGATTCGATTGATGGATCAATATAATGGGACCGGAATGGATTTGGGCGGTCAAAATTCTGAATCGGTCACGTCTAAACCCGTGCATTGGGTAGTTGCCAGCATATTGGAGCCGTCTATTGTATTCCTATTGAATGAAGGAAAAGGTCCACCAATCGGATTCCGGCCTCTCACAACTTGGACAAGACCAAAAGACCCAATACCAAGTCCCCCTCCTTAAAGAAATACTACATGCATTTACAAATTTCATTTTAAAAAAAATTTACTGCCTGTTCTAAATTTCATATGTGAAACATAATTTTTTTTATTTTTTCATTAAATAACAAGTGGGTCTTTTTTAATAATATAATACATTTCTTTCATTAGATAAAATGAGACACTAAGATGGCTTTTAGGAGTGAGTGTAGCAATTTTAGTTTTTGATCTAATTAAATACCGTCTTTAATAAGAATATAATTATTTAATTGATTTTTGTATATTTAAGAGGGAGAGAGAGAGAGGGGTATATGTATATTGTGAGCATCATCATATTCTCAAGAGTATAAAAGAAAGCACAAATAATGAATTACGATGAAGAAAAAATGAAACACAACGACCCACAAGTTAAGATTGAACGGTATGGGATAGGCAATTTATGTTTGACACCAAAATTTATTTACGTAACAAATTGATAGGGAAGGTAAGATCATCCCTACTCCTTTGGTACCAAACAATGTCGGTATGATGGTCTATGTAGTATATACCGCTCATACTTGTCTCTCTATTCAGTTGGTGAATTGACGTATATATATTAGAAAGAGAAAAAAAGTAATTATTGATTTATAGAGAAAAATAGTTTATTCCCTTTTTCTAGTACATATAGATTGGTTTGTACATATAGATTGTTAATTGTAATTATTGATTTTTGAAAATAGTTGTAGTAAGTTGGCAAATTGATGTATATATACCTTCACTTTTAGGATAAAAAAGTATGAAATTAATGAGATCTAATGTGACACTAATGTGGAAAAGAAAAATTATACAGTAAAAAAGGTATACAGTGTATGTATATCCTCCACGGCTCCACCCTCATCATAAAATAAGGTACCATGGTCGTTGAAAAATGATAAGGAGTACGAATTAAATTAGAACAAAGAAAATAATGTGAATCATAAAGTGCAACTTTTATTTGGGATCCGAACAAAATGTTAAAAAAATCTAGAAGAATGGAAGTAGTCAATGTAACTAAAGAACAATTCTATGTAACTAAAGAACAATTCTTGGTGTACAGGGTACACCATGATGTATACTACTCCTTCGTACTGAAACGTTTTTCTCAGTTACACAGTCAAATTTTAATCACCAAATTTACCTATTTTTGTAAGTTATTTGATAAAATAATATAGTTTTGTCACATTTTATTTTGTAGATCTTTTGATGTAGTTTTTACACATTTAAATTTCTTTTTTTAAGTTTACACCTACAATTAAATAAGTTGAATTGAAAATAAATCGATCAAACCCCGTAAACATTAACAAGAAGAACGTTCTAAGACGAAGAGACTAGCATCTTTTCACTAATACACTTGTAAGTGTGGATACCCATAATGCTATAAGTATGATAGCTATCTATGGAAAACATTCTCATTAACAAGTGATATAAATAAAAAAATTAAGTTATTTGTATCCCAAAAATATACCCACTTTGTACCCAGAAAGCATGCATCAATATTTTGGTTCTAGTGTGATAGTTTATAACGATACAAAATGTTAGTGTAATTTTTTTATTGAATGGACATTTTGTACCATTATAAAACATTAAAATGTTAGTGCATTTCTTTGGGGTACAACTTGAGGTACATTTTTTGGTGTACACCTAGCATAATTGTAAGAGCAATGCTAGGAGTACATCAAAGGTGTACCCCAAATGTACACCACCCCCTTCTTCACCACTTAATTTTATTTTATTTTTATTTATTTATTTCTTTTTATTTTCTTGCCTAATTATATGGACAAGGAGGGGTGGGGGACAAATGGGGTACACCTTTAGTGTACCCCTAGCATTTTTCTAATTGTAAATAAAAATGCATTGGTGTGCAAAAATCATCGTCAACTATATAACTCTTTTTGTCACGTTTTTTTGGGACATTTGATATTGATTTTAATAAAAAAGTGAATGCTTGACAACAAATTTGGACTTAAGTCGCTCTTCTTCCAAAAAACACGGAGTAAGTTATTTGGGGAAATTTGTGCCCAGCCTTGAATATTAAGAGTAATGATAGATTCATAAATAAAATATTTACAAAATTCACAAACTGGTCAAAAATATAAAATAATGAATTTAAACAATGGTCTCAAATAATTAAAAAATAAAAACTACGTAGCATAATACACAAATGATAAATTTATACATTTTGTGAGTGTTTTATTTGTGACTTTAACATTACTCGAACACTAACCTTTTTAAAATCACAAAGGTCTTGTTTCGGAAAATCATTTTCTATTAGTGTTAGCGTTTTAAATACAATTTTAATGGTATAAATTAATTCTGAAAACACTTACACTAAATTTAATGACATAAATAATCACTTCCAACTATATTTTTATTTTCTTTAAACTTTGTGTCCATTCAAATCAAAAAAATTTTTAGACGGAAGGAATAATAAAATGGAAGCATGAAAGTATGAAACAACAATGAATCTAAGGTAAGAGCATGGGCAGTGGCGTGTCAAAGCCACTGCCACGCATGCCAGCTCATCTTTTTACTTGTTTTCCAAATCATGCCAAATCATCCCAATTCTCCTTGCAAGTAGTGGCATGTGCGAGGCAATGTTTTCCTTTGTTTTGTTTTTTTTTTTGGTAAAAGAAAGAAATTTTTTTATTGGAAAATGCTAGGGGTACACCAAAAGTGTACCCCAAACATCCTCCACCCCCTCCATCACCACAAAAAAAAGCAAGAAAAATTAAAAAAAAAATAAAAATTAAAAATAAAATAAAAGGAATGGTAAAAAGAGGGGTGATGTACATTTGGGGTACACCTTTGGTGTACCCCTCTATCATATCCCTTTTTTATTTTATTGAGATTAGAGGCAATGTTTTCCATTTTTAACCCTTGCTTTTTTTCTTTTTCAATTTATTTTCTTTTTCAAAACAATCAAACCTTTGTTTGAGACTAAAAAATATACATTTTTAAACATTAATGTTTTATGTGAAATTATATAATTTAAATTAAAAAATTTTAAAATTTAATTTTCTCTTTGTACAATTAAATCTTTACAAGAAAATGTAATAATTTATAATAAAAAAGCACGCATAGGCTAATTAAAATATGTCAAAAATGTTAACATTGCCAAAAAAGATTACAATTTTTTTTATTAAAATAAGGTAAGTAAAATAATTTGTGAAATTAAAATATATTAAAAAGGTATAAAAATGAAAAAAATGGTGACTTGCCAATGTAAGACATGCCACTCCACTCATGTAACACACGTTGACTGGACAGATTTTGTTCCATTTCTTGCCATTGCCCATGCTCTAACCCTATTGATGAGGTAAGTATATACTCTCTTCGTTCCAATTTAAATTACTTACTTCGGTTTACGATGTTTGACTGAAGTTATTTTCAAATCATTTTATATGAAAAATGATATTGAATTAAAAAATAAAAATTACATATTTAAATACTAGATTAAAAGATCTACAAAATTAGTAGTGACATTATTATATGATTCTATCAAATGACTAATGAAAATATGAAAAGAAAATGAATAAAGTTTGACTATGTGAATAGTAAACGTGTAATTTAATTTAGGACAAAGGGAGTATACAAAAGGGTAAAACATCATTCTTTAAATAAAAATTAATAGAATCACGCAATAAAAGTTTAAGAATGATGAAAAGGAAAATAAATAGAAAAATTTGCTCCATATAAGATTAAAAGCTAGTACATTTCCCTAAATAAGATTAAGTATATTTTACATATTTTCGTATAATCTGCCATATATTTCTTCGTTAACAACAAATGTTAGATAATGACTTATTATACGAATCACTTTACGAATGTAGTCACTAGAAACAAGTGTTGAATAATGACTGATTACTGCAATGATTATTCAAATTATTTTTAATAATGTCCTATTCTACTTGAATAGGTTATTCTTTACAAAGATAGAACATTTTAGAATTTTTCATTGTCAAACGTTAGAGTATTTCATACCAATTCTATTAGGAAAAAGTGATATTTTTTATATAGGCCAAAGAGGAAATAAGGGAATATGACTATACAACTACATAGGTACTAGTAAGTAGATATTAGGCACACCACAACTCTTGATCCTTAGAGCAGTTCAATCTGTATGCATTTTTAACCACAGCAATTTCACCCTTCTTCCCCATCCTTCAGATGTTATGTTCATAGTTGTGCAACCAATGGGCGTGAAGTGAAAATAGAGTTGAGAAGGGAAGCCAAACGTACCGCGCCTTGAGCTAATCTCTTTTCCACAACTGGCAGCCGTGACCGGAAGTACTCATCTATTAAAAAAAACCAGATGTTGAAAGACTGGTAAGAAAATAAACACATTTCTAAATTAAAAAAAGTGTAGCGAGATTAGCATGAAAGGCGAGTTTGACCAGGGCATGTGAAAGAGCCAGAACCAAAACAATTTTCGTATGTGAAGTTGGACTTTGGTGTACACCTTGGTGCACGAAAAGAAATTTCCTTTTTTAAACACTTCAAAATGGAGTAACATTTTACCCTGAATCAAACAACAATCCAAAAACCTCACCCACACCCTTTTTTGAAACATAGCCCTTTCGAACACAAAATGGGAAGCGTGGGGAGGCATGTTTGCTTGTTGGTGTAGATATTTTGGTTACGTTCCCCAACTCATTCCTTAAAACTAGTGATGACAAAAACAGATATACACACAATGGCCTCATTGGGGGGGGGGGGGGTAGATTGGTGAGTGGGTTGTTATGCACCTTCCAAAGTGCTCCCGGGCGTGGCATTTCTGTAGGCAAATTTGCAAGCTAAACTAACACTTTCTGAAGCATACCTGTCAATTCATGCATTGCAAGATTGAAGTCATCTTTATTCATCAGATAGATATACACTTAGACATGGGGTTGGTCATGAATAAGGGGCAATTGAAATGTTATATGTAACCTATTATAGTATTCCTTCCAAAGAAAACCAATCCAAGCTGACTCTAACACTATGTTTGGTTTGAAGAATTGAAAAGGAAAAGAAAGTCAATGAAACCAGAAATCTGGATTTTGTTTGGTTAGAAGGGAAATTGGTATGAAAATCATTTTTCAATAACACATATTTTTGGTTGTTGTAAAGAAAAATGAAAAAATGCATTATTTAGAGTGGGGGCAAGGTACTGGCAGCAGGGGGGGGGAGGGAGGGGTGGGGGCAAGGTACTAAACATTTTCCTCACCTTTTCATTTTGTTTCTAGCCAAACACTAAAATTGCTTTTCCTTATCATTTTATTTTCTTTTTCCTTCCAAATTCCTTCAACCAAACAAAGTTTAAGAGCATCAAGTAACTACAATGTACATAGGAGTCAGGAGATTCTTAATACACAACTAATACTCCCTCCAATCTTTATTAACTATCTATTATGACTTTCATTGTACATTGAACAATAAATGAATGTACACATAATTTTTACATTCATTCATTTTTCAATGTATCATAAGAGTCATAATAGACATTTAATAATTAACGGAGGGTGTATAATAATGAAATCCATTTGTGAGTAATCCTTGATCCAATATGTTTCCTATCACAAAATCCTTTGTTACACCTATGAGTATTAATGGTTATGGGCTTTGTGGGCTGTAGCAAATCAGCCCAATACATTAATCTACCGTCAAGGCCCAAATGTACCATGTAGACATCACCCCATGTCACCTAACTGTGCTATTAGATTCAAAATTAACGGAATGGAAATTTAATGTTTAAAAAATGCTCACGGATCTGGACAGACGGTCTTGTTGCAACTTTCCCGCAATGGATTATCAATGGGCCATTCAGCCTATCAACAAAATACATAAGAAATACTAGTAATCAGAACGAGATCAAATAAACAAATACTCTCTCTGTCCAAATTAATTAGCTCAATTGGACTTCATGCAAATTAAAAAAAGTGTTGAATAGTGAAACGTGATTGGTTAAATTTTGTTTAAAAGAGAAAAGTATTTTGGACCACATATTTTTTTCTAAAAAGGGAGATAGGAAAGTGAAAAAATTACTTTGGGATGGATGTGAAATAAATAGTGGGAAAACTTCTGTGGGACAGAGGGAGTATCAAGCTAATAATATGAAATAAAATGAAACAAACCGTGATATTATTCTCAAGAGCTTGAATCATCTGTGTAAGATTAGAGTCATATAATGTCTTTACTGCAGTTTCAATGATATCACTATCCCACATCTGACATAATAAGATGCATATCAAGATGAAAATCATAATTAATGACAAATAGGACTTAAAGCACGATGATAACAAATTGCAATGACTTACATGGTGCAAATTAGTCTTCCTACGGTACCACCGGACAGTTATTGTGTTCCCCCCTTCATCTCCAATGAATCCTACGTGAAGAGGCTGTACGAAAAAAAGATCCAAGAATGTATCAGATAGAACCACACTTTCATTGCCACTATCTCAGGTAATGAGTAATGACAAATCTTGGCTCTAAAAGCTTTTTCCAAAGAAAAAAAGAGCCATATTTCATCAAACAAGCCAACTTTTCAAGTTTTTTACCCAAATAAGGTTACAAATATGTTAAATATGATAAATCTGGTTAAGAAACAAATGCCTGTAAAGATAAAGTACAAGTTCATGATTTTTAACAGTTGTACATTGTCAAAATTTAAAAAATGTACCTTGACCAAACAAGACACTTTGTTTAGGGGTAGAAGGAATAATTTATAAAAGAGATATCACATAAATATAGTATAAAATCAATTCAAACTAATCAGCCATTGGTTTCTAAGAGAGAGATACAAACCTGATGGACATCACCAATAAAATGTGATAAGAACATGAGTGATTCTGTCAAATTGTCTACAACAAGAAAATATTAGTCAATAAAGATTTCACGAACCATCTACTTTATTAACAGATTCTTACATTTTGTTTCTGAGTTTGAGTTTGAGTAATCCAAAAGCTGCTCAGTGTAGTTGTAGATTGCTGCAGTAACACACCTGTCCTTGTGCCTTCTTGTGTCATGGCAATCCCCTTTGCAAATAATCCAAATAATAAGGAAAAATGAAAAAAAACAGATATACCACTGATTGTAGGGAGAAAAAAAAAGCTGATTCAGCATGTAGTTTGCCCACAAAGATGAAAACCTTACTGGAATATTTGTAGTTGCATAGAAAATCAGGTGTATCAACATAATGTAAAGTTTTGCTCCAACCGTAGTGGGCATGATGCCGAACTTGATCTGCCCAATCACAAACATTAGCAAGTTCGCCTTCGGCTTCATCAGGGAGTAGGTTTTTGACTGCTTGGAGAGCCTCTTCAGTTAGATATTCCTGGAGTGTTTAGATGAATATTTTTTATTGAAAAACAAAACAAAAAAAACTCTCTTTCAAGTGTTCTACATTATTTCCATCATCTCCAATGGAGCCAAAAATTCACTATTTTTTTTGCTTTGGGGTGTGATGGAATAAAGCAAAATGGATTTTTAAATTGTCCGCGCTTCTTTAATTAATGAAGTATCAGTTAGTCAATCAATGCAACTTTGGACGCTGAGTCGGGGGTCTCTATGGAAACAGCCTCTCTACTTTCGAGTAGGGGTAAGGTCTGCGTACACATACCCTCCCCAGACCCTACTCTTGTGGGATTTAACTGGGTTGTTGTTGTTCAAGTGTTTACATGAAGTGTTGTTAAAATGATTTTTCATCCTTTCAATAAACAAAAAATTCTTCATCATGGTAATGGACTTAATCCCAATGATTTTCTGATTTTTGTAAGTAGTTTTTTTCATAAATTAATTGTCTAAATTAACTAACACCCTAATAGCTTTTTTTACACTTGATTCCCTTCTATCCACACAAGACTCACAACCTTCTTAACAAGAAACAATAACACAAAAATCTAAGCCCGTTGACATCAAAGGTTTTTCTCCACTTGCAAGAAAATAATACAGCACCCCACTCCACAGTCCACACACAAATAGTACAGTACAGTAAAAGGAAAAATAAGGGGAGATTATATAGAACATGTTTGGTACTCCCTCCATTCTTCTTTAACTGTCTGTCTGATTCACTTTGCTTTCTGTCCAAAATGTTTGACTAACTATATATAAAAATATACAATGAGTTGAAATATAAAAATTAGACCATAATATTTGTACAAAAATAATACTTTAAATACCTTAAATATATCATTTTCATAATTCTTTATATGTATGTATGTATGTATGTATGTATGGATGCATGCATGCATGCATGCATGCATGCATGCATGCATACATACATACATACATACATACATACATACATACATACATACATACATACATACATACATACATACATACATACATACATACATACATACATACATACATACATACATACATACATACATACATACATACATACATACATACATACATACAT